AGAGCCAGAAGACTTTCTAACATAGTTACTCTTACTTGGAAAGTTAAGTCTTTCTCTAATGGCCATGAAACTATTAACTGACTTTCCAGTAACTTAAAACCATTGTCTTTCAATGTTCTGTGGGTTGCCTGGCTCAACTAGGTAGTTCTCACCCAGGTCACTCGTGGCGGCAGCAAGATGCCATCGACAACGGGGCCGGCAGGGCCTACGCACCCACCTAACTCTTCGGCCATTATCACTCCCCTCCTTGGAACCCACTGCAGCAAGCTCTCATTCCCTGCAGACGACTAGTGATGGGCTTCCTCACGCTCATGCAGGAGGGACAAGGGCTGCAGGTGTTCAGGGCAGAGGGTCCTTGTGATTGGACTCACTGGACAACCTTCTGACTTGGAGCACTGCCAACTGGTCGCTATTTGGTACACCTGGGCTCAACCAAGTTTAGCAGGAGTCTCTACTGCAGGATGTCTAAAAAGTACTGACAAGCACTGCGAGTCTGTAAGAGGGAAATGTAAATAGGAATATCCATTCAACACATTTCGTTAAATGGCAACTCTCAGTTACTAACAATAGTGATGCATGTTCCAGCACATTCATTCCCTCAGATACCAGAGACTGTGCCCGATGCTCATGAAACAGCATCAGACTGTCGGTCCCTCTTCTCTGGGAGCTAAGGGCTGCATGTGGAGAGAGGGAGGACTGGGCCCGGAGTGTGCGCGTTGGTCACAGGACTGGGCTCAGGGGGACCAGATCCAGGTGGCACTTTCGGGAACAGCCCGGTCCTCTGGGGATCTATGTGCAGTAATTTCATGTCTCAAGCCCTCTCTTCCCTTAACCCCAATCCGGCAACAGCGATAGCACCTCTGCCATTTACTTTCTTGAATCTTAAATCAGTTACTCAGTTCCTTTAGCCTATTTCCTCTCCATTTAATGGGGTGAGCAACAGCAGCTTGGTTGATTTGTTAAATCTAGAGAGTGCTTCTAGGCATCAGGCCTTACAGAGAATATGCTGATAAGCTAGCAAAACGAATTAACCCTGTTAATTAACCCAATTAATCCAGAAAGACCCTGTATGTACCATGTAAGATCTGCAGGCCAGTGTGAAGTCTGGAACTCCTCTGTTGTTGAGACTTACACCATCTGAAGATTTTTCACGTCCACTGCAGGTCTGGGCTGCAACAACTTACTCGTCAGCTCAGCAGTGCTTTTGCTTGTGGGTGGGTAGCTCCCACCGTGGCAGAGACTGAACGCAGCGTAGAAAACAGACAAAACCTCTAGTAAAGTAGGGGATGAGTCAATTGCCAGTTCGTAGGGGTCTTGAATTCTGCTGCCCTAACCTGTGTTCTCTCTTTAGGCTTTTTCCCCAGCCAGCCTGAGGGTATTTTTCTGTAACTGCCCATTGTCACCCTTCTTCAGAGTGGGGAAAAAGATTCAGAGGGAACCGTGCTTCTGTCCAGTCTGAGTCTTCCTCACATGCTCACATGGAGTGTGAAGTGGGGACCTCCCTTCTCGGGCTGCGGCGCACCTTCATGCCTTGACTTCTCTGAGGTAGCTGTGTCAACAGCCGCCACCCAGACGCACCCTGAGTTCCCCACGCACCATAGGACTCCATCTAACAGGTGATATTTTTATCTCCTCTGCAGAATGTGAATGGCATAAAGTACCACGCCAAGAATGGTCACAGAACACAGATTCGTGTCCGCAAACCATTCAAATGTCGTTGTGGTAAGAGTTACAAGACAGCTCAGGGCCTGCGGCACCACACAATCAATTTCCACCCCCCGGTGTCGGCTGAGATCATCAGGAAGATGCAGCAATAACACGCTGGTCGTAACTGTGCCAAGGAATCCTCACCAGCAGTTGCTGATTTTGAAAACAGCCACCTTTTTTCAGGGGAAGCATTCAGCAACCCTTTAAAGAATTAAATGCATGCTTTAAATTTTTTCTGTAATTTTGGAATGATGTACCTTTGTAGAGTTAATGATTTTGTACATTTGCACATGTAATCATCATACCCATTTTCATTACTTTGATATAAGGTGCTAAAAAAAAAAAAAAAAGCTCTAGGTTCTCAGCACATTTACCCCAAAACAAAATGATTGAGGGCATGTTGCATATTGTTCGGTTGTACTGCAGTGGTATCAGCTGGGGGAGGAGGGGCTGACTGAGGTTTATTTTTCCCCAAGATTGTAATGTGATTGAGGTTTTTCAACACATCAACTATGTTCAAAACCAAAATCATTATCAAACTGGTTACCATGCCTTACATAATGGAGTTAGAATTTGTGATTAGAAAGACTTTAGGTAATGGAAATATAAATTAAGAAAGAATGTTTAACATAATATGCTAAAAATATTTTCATATTTAAATAACATACATAAAAGGTGTGCTTTCTGTGTCTTGTCTTGCAAGTCCTTTTGCCCGCTGAAAATCTTGCCATCTGACTTACCAATTATTTTAGTGTTATAAATAGCATTTTTGTACAATAGTCTGTTCAGTTCACTCATAATCTAACACATCCATTGAGTGCCTGCTGGGTGCAAGGGATTCAATTTATGCAGATTGATATTTGCAGACCAAGATACAAGTTTAATGAAATACTTCTCCCTGAAATCTTTTAGGAAACACTTTGAAATACTTACGTGCAAATTTTGTGTGTAAATTAGTTCTATCTTCATCTTTAGGTGAAGTTTTAAAGCACTTTGTAGTTCTCTATTGCCAACAGAATTAATGATTTATGTGTTGCCAATTCTTACAACCACTGCCCTAACAAACCTGTGGGTTGCAAATAAGAATTAAAATTCCAAGCACGGTTCAAAGAGGAACATTTCTGTTAAGGCCCCTATTGCTTCTTCATGTCCATTGTGTTTTCAGACTTTTTTTCTTTAAAGGCACTTTTCCTATCACATTGTAGATGTCTGTATTCCATTGGAAATGTCTGTTTAGCTTTATAAAACAATTTGCCGAAAAGAAATTGAGCCTTACTGACAATTAAGTGCTTTCTTGCAGCAGGTGGTCAGAGTGACTGATCGATGGCCTGTCAGAGTAACCCACGTCTGGACCATCCCTGAAGTTTTTCTCACCAACAGTACCATCATGCCTTGAGTGTTCTTTTCTCCCAAGTGCTATTCCTTAAACATGAGTTTACCAGTTGCCTAATATGCAATAAACATTGCTTTGAGATAGCCAACTACTCACAAAACTGGTGAAAAGCAAAGTCATATCGCTTATAAAGTAACTTTCTTTCCATATTCCCATTTGATTAAAGTTTTACAGCTGGGAAGCAGGTGTCCCTCCTCAATTTTCAGACATTTTGAAAAGATGAGACAATTCTGTTAGCCAGATGAGTAAGCGTCTATATTCTTAGAATAGCTGTGAATCCCTCAAATGAGGAATTTTTAAGTATTTGTAAAGAGACTGCCCTCTAAAAATTTCCTCAGCTCTCCGAAGAGCGGCCTCGGTCCTGAATATACAGTGCCATCCTCTGTTTCAAAGGGTGATCTAGACAGGAAAAGCTACTACTTGGTGCATAAGAAGGTCCTACTTGGCTATTTCACATCTACCTATTATTGACCAAAATTTTTTTTAGGCTAGTAATTAGCTTCGCTCCTTCTAGTGCAAGAAACCGCAGGCTGGATCAGTAGTTCAACAGCTAAACAGTCATAAAATAGTCGTTGTGCATGTTAACATTTCTTTCAACTATAAAACAAATTCCAGTTTCTACTCGCTTCTTCATTGTGACAGTATTACTAAACAAGCAAGGATGGGAATATTTTGTTATACCGTGTATAGTGAATGTATTGTACTGTGTCTGTGAAAACTGTGCTTTAAATTATATTTTCATATGTTTTGTTGGGGACAGAGCACATTAAGTTTGAAAGTGACAGAGGTTTTAGAACTGAAGGCAACTTAAATCAAAATCCTGTCAAGAAAAGCTGCTTATAAATGTAAATGAAATCACATTTAAAATAAACTGTCTCTGACCCAAAATAAACGTGGCTCTTTATTTTCACTAGCAGACATTATGAACAGTTCACCACAGAAACTACCCTATCCGCTCAGTGCCTTGTTCTACCTTAGGCTGCCTCATCCCTGCCACCCCCGCCCCCAGACTCAGCTGATGCATGCAGATGGTATTTTAGTTTTTTGCCTAACAGAACATCAAAACATGGGGGGCAAAAAAATGATAGAACTGTTAAGGAAAAATAAATCCACTATTTTATTTGGAGATGTCAACATCCCTCTATGAGCAACGCAAGAGCCAGCAGAACTCAACAGCATCATCAATTAACTATAGCTAACCTCCATCCAGCAACAGAATACCCAATGTTCAGGCTCACGCAGACCATTCACCAAGACAGACCAATATAAGCCACGAAACGTACTTTAATTCCTAAGAATATAAATCATACACAAAGCATGCTCTCAGACCACAATCAAACTGAACCTACTTTGATGTTTTCCAGCTTGAAGTGAAAAGCTACTCGAGTTCTAGACTAGGGAGATGAATGACCTCATTTCACTGGTGGTAGTACTAATGCCAAAAAAAATGCTCCCACCACAGAACATTTTCTCTGAAATACTGTTTGCCATGTGACCGACCTACACTGCGGCCCCCGGGTCTGCTCTGGCCGAAACATCTGGCCTCTGACCGCCGGGTACTGATTTTCCCTTAAACTCAAAGACCTTTAGAAAGGATTCCGGCAGCGGGCGCATTCTGCTCCTACACACCCCTCGGCGGCAGGATGTGCGAGGCAGCTCACGTGCAGCAGGCACCCAAAGGCCGCCACGCTGCCTATTACTTTAACAACTTAAATGGCTAATTTGCTTTTGACAAGCTTGAATATTTTCAGCAGCAGCAGAAAAAAGCCAATACTTTAAATTGTTAACATTCATAGTATAAGAGAAAGGAATACAGTACAGAAACATTTTGTAAAACCCAGACTAAAAAAAGATGTTCAAGACGCTAGACTTAATGAAAAACTATCACAAATAAATTTGACAAAATTACCTCCAAAGTGTACTCTTTAATGAGAATACTATACACAGCAGAGACATAACATACTACTTTATGTTATTACATTTTTAATTACTGAGAATGTTATTTCAAAGTTATACTCTCATTTGGAAAATGTGAAAAAGATAAGGATACACTTTCTGTGATTTTATGCCACAAACACCACTATTTAGATCATATAATATGAAACAACTGTACTGGCATACCTTGCTCCATTTCCCCACTGGATAGGAATATAACTTTAAGTTGGCTTAAATATAACCAATTAGCAAAATATGCTTTCCATTAATTCCTAAAGCAAACATTTCAAATGTAAGAAGAGTATCTGCTGCACTTGCAAGCATGGGATCTCATTCTACATACAGCTCCAATTCTAAAGAGAATAAAAAAAATGTCATGGGCCAAATTATGCAATTTTCTGCATTCAAAGAATTACTTTGTAAGACTTATGATAAATGCTTTTTATTACATAATATTAGTAGTCATGCTCAATCAACAAGATCAACAGAAACTTGTAAATATTGTGCTAAATAACACACTATACATATTTTTTCAGTGCAGCAACACCAAAATAATCCTTGTTTCCTTTAGTCGTATCATTTTGCAAACTGAGGAATAAATAAAAATACAAACACCCGAGAATGTCTTTTCTTAAGCAGGTAGGAAAAAGAGGTTAGAATCCTAATTATTGATAAGCCAAAGGCTGGCCCTACCCTAGGAACACCCACCTCCAAGGAGATCTTGGTCAGCAAAGCACTGCAGAGGGCACACGAAAGTGATCGCCCGTGTTCTCCTTAGTGGTCTATTGGAGATTTTTTTTAACTGCTAGGTTCTATTAACTCATAATAAAAAGTAACTAGTCAAAATTTAAAACATTCTGATCAAAATGGGTCTGCACATGCCTTTCAAAGCCCTGCTGGTCATAGTCAGGAGGGAACTGCTCGCTGCACATTGGGCACACCTTCCAGTGACTTTCAACATGTTCTTCAAATTTGCTCTGATCATAGTTGGGAGGGAACATTAATTCACAGAGGGGACACTTCTTGTGAACATCAAAGCTTGAAGAAATAAAAAAATGAAAGAATTACATATTTCCAATACATTTCTAACAAATTTCTAACAATATAGTATTCTTCAGGAAATGACACAAGCCTACATTTATCTAGTTAAGCTGACAACTCACCAGGAAAGTCTTCATTTATTCCAGAAACCTTTCCTTCCTCCTAAATGCTTGCTACTGACAATTGTGTGAACTACTTATAAAGCGTCTGAATTGTTTTACAATTAGATTGACAAAGAAAAACCTTTTTTCATTAAAATCCCCAAAACAATTACATGATGTAAAAGAGGCTTAGTGACAAGAATTCTTCACTTTTTAACTAACAGAAAAAACGCCTTCTGTAAGCCTATAAACACAAGTAACTTACTTCCTGACAGTGCTCACCGTGGTGCAACAGCTCGGAGCACCGGCAGCACCGGTCCCCAAAGAGCCTCACGCCTGGGAGGCACATTAACACACACTCTGCTGGTCCCACACCAGGAGTTTCAGTTCAGAGGGTGTGGTGTAGGGCTCTGACCACATGCATTTCTACCAAGGTCCCAGGGACCAAACTTTGAGAATCATGTTCTATATAATCCATATTCGATACAAGAAAAAAAAATTACCTGGAATCAAAGCAAAAGCCTGTTCCATGCCCGTGTAAATGTGTACTTGGCAGATCAGGAGCCGTAGGCACGTTCTCAGCCTCCTAGCAAAAAAACAATTTCGCAGCTTTTAAGGTAAGAGAAACTGAACATTAAGTTCCTTAATTCAATCAAGCATAGTATAAAGCAAGTAAGATTACGCTTGAAAATTTTATTTGTTACCATTTGATTAGATTTTCAGAAAGTCAATTTTTTTTTTAACCAAATATTTCACTATGAATTAAGTCTTACTGTCTTGAAATAAAAAGCAGTATTTAGTGGAATGGAAAGTATACCACACCTGTATGTGTGAACGAGGTAGAGATCATTAACAGACTTTTTGAACTCATGTGTAGATAACTTTGACTTTTTATTATTCCATAATAATCTTAACCCTACATTGTTTTTCCTATTACTCTGACCTGGTACCTGAATTTGCAAGATGCTACTCCCTTTGACAACATACATCCATTGCACAATACGTAGAAATTTTAAGTAAACATAAACTAGTTAAACAGATCAATCTGCATAATGTACTTGGGCACGTGTGCACATACACACTCACTCACTCACACACAAGCAAATGTAACTGGAAAACCATGTTAAAGCAAAGCACCAAACTGTGTCTCAAAAGCCTGTGCACCAGGAAGATAAGCCCCCATAACTTCTGGTTGTAAAAACCAGTGGGGGTTGGGGCAGTGGAAGAAATTGCAGGATTCTCAGGCATCACCTCTCAAAGGACCACAAAAGTCTTAGGACTTACACAGGCTCACTCCCTCTGGGCCCCAGCACCAGGGCAGCAGGTGGAAGGGCACCCGTGGCACATGGGGAGAAACTGAAGTGTCTGGCATCAGGGCAAATGCCAGGGGACAGCTTCCTCACAGACAAAACTCCAGAGGCCAGGGAGGGGCCACTGTCCCATTCTGAGCCCTCCACACAGAGCCACAGAGCTGACACTCGATCAGCCTGGCTCCCACGGGTTGCCCAGCCCTGGCGATTACCTAAGGCTCCATCCTATCCAACTTACAGGTGAGATTTCCTACAACAGGCCATGCTACTAAGACAGGAAGTCAAAGCAGCACTACCAAATGTAATACATAGAAACAAACACAGGGAGGCTGCCAAAATGAGACCAAAAACCATGGTCCAAATGAAAGAACAGACTAAAACTCCAAAAAAAGAACTAAATAAAATGGACATAAGCAATCTATCAGATGCAGAGTTCAAAACACTGGTTATAAGGATGCTCAAGGAACTCACTGGGTCCTTCAATAGCATAAAAAAGACCCAGGAGGAAATGATGATTACACAAAGTGAAATAAAGAAAAATTTACACGGAATCAACAGTGGTGTGGATGAAGCCAAGAATCAAATAAATGACTTGGAACATAAAGAAGAAAAAAACATTCGATCAGAACAAGAAGAAAAAAAGAATCCAAAAAAATGCATACAGGGTGAGGAACCTCTGAGACAACTTCAAACACACCAACATTCAAATCATAGGAGTGCCAGAAGGAGAAGAGAAGAAACAAGAAAATGAGCACTTTATTTGAAAAAATAATGGAAAAAAAAACTTCCCTAATTAGATGAAGGAAGTAGACATACAAGTCCAGGAAGCAGAGAGTCACAAACAAGATGGATGCAAAGAGGACCACACCAAGACACATCATAATTAAAACGCCAAAGGTAAAAGATAAAGAGAGAATCTTAAAAGCAGCGAGAGTAAGCAGTTGTTATCTACAAAGGTGTTCCCATATGACTGTCAGCTGATTTCTCAAAAGAAATTTTGCAGGCTAGAAGGGACTGGCAAGAAGTATTCCAAGTGATGAAAAGCAAGGACCTACAATCTAGATTACTCTATCCAGCAAAGTTATCATTTAGAATTGAAAAGCAGATAAAGTGCTTCCCAAGCAAAGTAAAGCTAAAGGAGTTCACCATCACCAAGCCATTATTATATGAAATGTTACTTATTTCATAGAAGGGACTTATTTAAGAAAAAGAAGGGCAAAACTATGAACATTGAAATGGCAAGAAATTCACAGCTATCAACAACTGAATCTCAAAAACAAACTAAGCAAACAAGCAGAACAGAAAGAGAATCACAGATATGGAGATCATTTGGAGGGTTTTATGTTGGGAAGATGAACAGGGAAAATGGGAGAAAAGATGCAGGGATTAAGACATATACCTGGGGAGGTACAGAATAGACAGGAGATGCTAAGAATGGTATAGGTGATGGAGCACCCAAAGAACATAGATGCATGACCCATGGACATGAACTAAGGGAGAAGGATTCCCAGAGGGAATGGGGGTTACTCTGTGGAAGGGACAAAGGGGGGAAATTGGGACAACTGTAATATCATAGTCAATAAAATATTAAAAATAAAAAGATGGTATTTAGGAAAATAATGGAAAAAGAAAAAAAGGAAAGTCATGATATCCTACTTTTCAATCAAAATACTTGATAGCAGACATAATAAAACCTAACTTTCTAGGGGCCAAAAATATAATGAAAATAAACTTCCCCTGTTTCATAATGGCTAATAGCTTACCCCAACTTACTGCTTCCACAGAGCAGTCAGCTAACAATAGTTTGCTGCTAGCTAAGGTGCTAGACTCAGGCCAACCTACCAGACACGTTAATAACCCTGCTTGTAATATACTGAGGTGGACCTAAGTATACTTAGCAGACCTAAGTCATATATAAATTGATAATGATGACATTATTCTGTATTTTTATCACTACTGCCTAATAAAACAAAAGAGGGACTCAACTAGAATTCCAGATGTTATGAGACATAATAAAGACATTCCCATGAAGAAAGCGTATCACCTGTTCAGAGAATAGTTCAAATCCAGAAAGTATGTAGTAAGTTCTATGAACAGACAATTCATAAAGCCTCTCATGATATTAACATGCAAAATGACCAGTCCAATATCATTCAAAAATGCTACATTCATTCTACTTTACTCATTAAGGACAGTTAGTTTCCCAACCCATACGAGACTAAACACAAGCAGTTAGCGGGGGAAGTGAGGCTATTAAGGCAGGCCCACTGTAGGCAACAAAAAAACAGCTACTGGTAAAAAGAGAAAAACAGACAAAACTCAAAACATTCAATAGTATTTCAACATTGGATCCCACAGCTTTACATCCTAAAAGTACATGGTAACATCTTTAATGTTGATTTTTAAATTAATAAACTTAAACCATCAAGGTTGTGTTACGTATTCCTGAAGAAGGCGGAGAACCATGTATTCTAGGTTAGAAACATTTCCACTCCAAAACTACTAAAATAAATTTTAGAAGTGAAAGTTGTCAACCCAAAAGAATGAAAAGCAGGTTTTAAAGTATCAGCACCTAGTATTTTAATTAAACTGCTAAGATAATCTCCTAAACCAATTTTATTAGGAATACCATACTTAAATCTACATTGAACGGTTCCAAATAATTAAATCTTTTGTAATTTTCAACAGCATTTTAATCTCTGCAAAAGTCTAAACCACCTTACACTGTTCATCTATCTTTAGACCCATCAGCATAATACTATTTCTATTACAAACTGGTTGTTAAGCAAACAAAACAAACTACGGTAAACTGCTCTACTTGAAATTCAAGCACTTCTGGGAACATATCCAAAGAAACCCAAAACCTTATTTAAAAGAATATATACGCACCCCTACATTCACTGTAACATTATTTACAAGAACAAAGATTTGCAAGCAGCCCAAGGGCCCATCAGTAGATGAGTGGGTAAAAAAGCTGTCATACATTTACACAATGGAATACTGTTCAGCAGTAAAAAAGAAGGAAATCTTACCTTTTCTAACAGCGTAGATGGACCTGGAGAGTATTATTTTAAGTGCAATAAGCCAGTCAGAGAAAGACAAGTACCGTATGATCTCACCTATATGTGGAATCTAATGAACAAAATAAACCAACAAACAAGAGAGAAACAGACTCACACAGAACAGACTGACAGCTGTCAGAGAGGAGTTGAGGTTGGGTGAAAAGGTGAAGGAATTAAGGGGGGGGAAAGAAAGAAAAGAAACCTCACAGACAAAGACTGTGTGTCTATGAATATGGTGATTACCAGGCGGAGAGTGGGGAGTTGGGAGGTTATCAGAAGGCAAAGGGGAGATAGATGGTGATGGAATGAGACTTGACTTGGGGCAGTGAACACACAATACAATACACAGATGATGCATCTTAGAGTTCTACACCTGAAACCTATATAATTTTCTTAACCAATGTCACCCCAATAAATTCTATTGAAAATTTTTTAAATGTACTGAGATGCTAAAGGTGCCGTGAACTGAGTAAGTTTGGGAACCTCTGCTTTGCCTATTTGGTAGGTTGATGGGTGGTTAAAGACCACAGCTTCTACGGCCAGTGAGGACGCTCAAAACCAGGGTGACCCTTTCAAGCAGCGCGATACAAGGCAAGTCAGTTAAGCTGCCTCACAATACCTCTCAACAGAGATGGAAGTAGTTCCTACCCCAAAGGACTGCTATGAAGAACAAATGAGTTAGAACATTTAAAGAGCTAAGCATTAGCTGGCAAGCAGAGCTACAGGAACGTTTGTTGCCACCACCATCATCATAATCATGTTGCAGCTACTTTCAGTGCAACTGTCAGGTAAGAGGAAGCCATAAAAGGTTTTTGATCTGATGGCTGACTAGTTTCTGGTCCAGAAGGAGACACGCAGGTGTTATGACTGGAACAGGCTGGAAGAGCCGGCTGTCTCAAGCCTGACTCGGAGATGCTGGGTCCTGGGGCTGCTAATCACTCCCAGGGCAGAGAACCCAAGAAAAGGAACAGGTCAACTCAAATTTGCTTTCCATATCCTAAAATTACTTACTAAAATACTTCAGTTGCAAGTGATTATTTTTGTTGTTGTAATGACAAGAATTTTTTTAAAGACAACAAGATCTGAAAGGTACATAAAAATAAGTTTGTCTAATGTGAAAAATCTTCTGACTGGAAAATACAATCACCTGAGGCGCGCCTATTAAAGCCCTTCCATCTCATCGCCAACCTAAGCATGTCAGCAAATGAGCACAAGCCCCCAACACTGCTTCTCATGGGTTTGCAGAAGGGCAAAGCACACAGATCAGAAAGAACATTCTCCTAATTAAACTGAAGCACATGACTACGAAAGAGAAAGGCTTGTCGCATGTAACATCTGTGCCAGAAATGATCAGATTAAATATGCAAAATGTGAAGTAAAGGTGTGAAAAAGCAGTAAAATGATACTCTAGACCTTAAATAGGCTACAAAAGTTCTGACAGGTTTTCTAATTATTCCCAGTAATGGACACAGAAGGCCAAAAGGCAGAAGAGAGAAATACATTTTTCTCCATTATGAGTGTTGAGCACTAGGGCTAAAATCATGTCTGTCTAAACACTGATCGGTTTCTGCAAAGGTTAATAGCAATTAAATGCAGCAAACTAGATTAAATGAGAAACAGGTCATGATACCACTGTACTTGCAAAGAGCACGATAAAGCGTTTCTTTTAACTCATCTTAATGCACAGGAAATCCGAAGGAGTTACTGTGTGGAAAAGAACCTATTTATTAAATGAAATCAAAATAATGACGTGCTATATAAATTCAATTATCATCAGTATTGTGTTGTTGAGAGATTAAATACTAACAATGTCTACAAGAGTATTTCTTTGAAAAGAATGACACACACACACTTCTTTTTCTAGCTAAAGTCCACCTTAAAATTTAAAGTAGGATAAAAATGCTAAATGAAAAGATGCACACTGCAGCATAACATTTTCATTAACACTGCTTCTTCCAGCCTACTACAACAAAAGAATACAATAAATTACTCAGTGAAAATTAAAAGTAAACTCTGTGGCTAGAGTTAATAATACTATGTTGTGTATTTAAAGGTTTCTAAGAGTAGATCTTAATTTCTCATAACAAGGGGAAAATTGTAACTAAAATGGATGTTAAGCAGACCTACAAATACACAAGTGCTGAATCATCATGTATGCCTGAAACTAATATAGTGTTATATGCCAGTTCTATCTCAATTTGAAAACAATTTTTATATTAAACTGTTAATATTTTAAGGCCATCCTCCAAACTTAGTATTTTACTTCAGTACAAATCCTAATGTATAAATATGAAGCATATTAACATTTAAATTTAAATACAGGCTGGTTTTTTGAAAAATCTTTATGCAACACAAGCACACACACTCTCTCAAAACACACATGACGATGTAACTTTCTATGTAGGAGAGAAAATAAAAGGGACAGGCTCACAAAATAGAAATTCAATTTACTTTACTATCCTCAGGATCTTCCAAACCATCAGGCCGACTAAGGTTTCGAGCAGGCTGGCTGCAGACGACGTTATCTTCCAGTCCCCAGGAGGGGACTCGCACAGGCGGCCTCTGGATTTCATCTGGGTAAAAAGCGCCATCTGCTCCATCTGGGGGGAAAATTTTTTTTTTTTTGGCAAGGGAAGGGTGAAACCTGTTACTGAAACTGGAATCTCTGTATAGCTATGATGAACAGGACATAAAAATCTATTTTAGTGCATCAAAAAAAATCTTTATTTTTAACCCAAGTGATTTTTAAAAATAAGAACTATTAAGTAATAAGCAAATAGACCATTCATTCATGGTACATCACTTCTGGATGAAGCCAGTTAATGTTAAACATTAAAACTGCTCATAATAATGCTTTTATTACAGCTGACTGTACCAGTGGTTCTCTAACAAACACCCCCCCACACACACCCCGCCCCCCACGCCAATTCAGCTAATCCCAAACGAGAAATATTTTAACAACCTCTTGTTTCCTGTGTTGCATAAGGATTGCCGTACTGTAGAACTGGCTGCGTATCTGGTATTGCAGAAACATGACCATTTTGCTCTGAGCATGCGTTGAGACCCTGTGAAATCTGCTGAGGACTCTGGGAATTCTGACCTTCCATTTTCCCTTCTGCTTGATTTTCTAGACTCCTTTTAAGTTCCTAAAATTGACAAAAACAAATGTGAATAGGTAAAGCAATCAAGTACTTTATAACAAGGGCAGCACTAAACAGTTAGTCAAAATATAACAGTAAAATTATTTCCCTATTACAGTAGTTCCCTCTTATCCACAGTTTTCTTTCTGTGGTTTCAGTTACCCATGGTCAACTGCGGTCCACAAAAAATTAAATGAGAAATTCCATAAACAATACCTAAGTTTTCAACTGCACATGGTGACATCTTACTCTATCCTGTTCCATCCTGCCCAGGACAGGAGCCACCCCTTTCCAGCCCACCCACTGCCGCTCTTAAGTCACTTAGTAGCTGTCTTGGTTATCAGGCTGCTGTGGTCTTGCAGTGCTTGTATTCAAGCAACCCTTACTTTACTTAATAATGGCCCCAAACTTTACCACAGAAATGTGAGTACAGGAAAAAACTCTCACTATATATAACGGGGTTCAACGCTATTCAAAGTTTCAGGCATGCCCTGGGGCCTTGGAATGCATCCCCGCAGATAAGTCGGAAGAGGGCTGTATGTCTGAAGTATGCACTTGGAAAGGCTGGCTCTCATCTTCTCATAAATGCCCCATCCACATACAACAAAACCAGAAAGCAGAATAAAGCCCAATGTATTTTCAAATTTATTAATGCCAAGAAAGTGCCTTTTTTACTGAGCTGAGGAAAAACTGAATCTCTTACAACTTAGCTATTAATAAAAATCAAAAGCCAAAAACCACCCCACATTGTTCCCTTAAATGTTCTATCAAACATTTAAGAAATTTATTTTTTAAAAATACTAGTTCAGGTTGGAGTACAGGTAAGAAAAAAATACGATTCCTGAATAAACTGAAAAACTAGAGGAAAAAACACTTCTCAACTCACTTCACAAGGCCCTTATTATCCTGACTCCAAAACCCAAAAATGGCCCCCCAGGAACTCCAAACCTCATCCCTCATGAACACTCATGCAAAAATCCTTAACTTATTATTTCAAGGCTTATTATAAAACTATAGTAATCAAGAGAACAAAGTACTGGCATAAGGACAAATACACAGATCAAGGGTTGGCAAACGTTTTCCATTAAGCGTCGGATAGTAGATAGTTTTAGCCGTATAGGACACATTGTCTCTGTCACAACTATTCAATCTTTAAATCTGCCTCTGCTGCCCCCACCATGATTCCTAAATGGAAGGGCGTGGTCATGTGCTAGTAAACCTCATTTACAAAAAAAGACCACAGGACATATTTGGCTGGTAGGTAAGGCCTTAGTTTGCTGACACCTGATATAAATCATGTTTTATTAACACAGAACAGACTCCAAAAATATACACATACTTTCAATCAATTTTCAACAAAGATGAGGAAGTAATTCTATGGAGGTTAAGGATGGTCTTTTAAACATATGATGCTAAAACAGTGGGTATCGGTATACTAGTAAACAAATTTTGATTACCTATCATACCATACCCAAACAGTAATTTTAAATATATTATAAATCTAAACATAAAGCAAAAACTATATATGTATCTACTGAAAGAAAAAAATAAGAGAAAAGCTTTAACCCTTGAGTTAGGCAAGTTTCTTAAGATGGAACACAAACGGCATCAACCACTAAGAAAAATATTGCTAAACTGGACTACTTCAAAATTACAAGCTATTGCTCTTCAAAAAATATTTTATTATTTTAAGATTTTATTTATTCATTTTTAGAGAGAGGGGAAGGAAGGGAGGAAGAGAGGGAGAGAAACATTGATGTGTGATTGCCTCTCACACGCCCCCTACTGGGGACATGGCCAGCAACCCCGTGCCCTGACTGAGAATCAAACAGGCAGCCCTTTGGTTCACAGGCTGGCACTCAATCCACTGAGCCACACCAGCCAGGGCTCTTCAAAAGGTTATTTTAAAAAACAAAAAGGCATGCCACAAATTGGGAGAATGTATTTCCAAAATATATAACAAAGGAATTGTATTTGGAATATATAAAGAACTCTTAAAACCAATAAAGAAACAACCCCTTAAAAATAGGTAAAAGTTCCAAACACACACCTCACCAAAGAATATATACAAATATAAATCCTTACATAAGAATATAAGCACATGAAAAGATGCTCAGCATCACTAGTCATCAGGGAAATTAAAACTAAAACCACAATGAGGTAACGCTATACACCCAATAGAACTAAAATTAAAACCTGACAATACCAAGTGTTGGTGAGGCTATGGAGCAATGGAACGTTCATAGGCTGTGGCAGGAATGCAAAATGATACAGCCACACTGGAAAGTAATTTGGCTGTTTCTTAAAAACATACACTTACCATATATGCCAGCAATTCCTAGGTATCTATTCAAGAAAAATGAAAACGTATGTCCACAAAAAAGATCTGACTGAGAATGTCCATAGCAGCATTATTCATAATAGCAAAAGAGGAGAAATAATCCAAACATCCATCAGCCGATAAATTAAGGTCTGTGAACTGGTGAATGGATATATTCTACATGGCTTGCATTTATATGAAATGCTAGAAAGGGTAAAACTATACAGTAACAAAAAGCAGGTCAGTGTTTGCCTAGGCCTGGGAGTAGCTGCCGGAGGAGCGACCGCGAGTGAGCATGAGGAACTTTGGGCAGTGATGGAAACATCCTCTAGTCTGCATGTAATGGTAGTTACAGCACTATGTATTTACTATACATTTGCCAAAATTCATCAAATCACACTTAAAATGGGTGAATGTTATTACATGTAAACTGTACCTCAATCAAGCCGTTAAAAAAAATCAACCAGAAATATTAGCAAAGGATATTAAAAATTTAAAATTTCATCTATAAAGTAAAAATAAGCTGGTTTTGCTGATTGTCACCCCTTGGGAGTAGAGATGAGACTCTTATGTTTACAAATTTTTATCTATATAAATTAAATTTCCTTAAAATGGAATTAGTGACCTGAAAACCTAACTAGTAAATATGAAAATGCAAGTCAATTTAGGCCTGAGAAGAGATACAGGAATTAAAAGTTAGTTCCTCCTAAGCATGTGAAGAGAAGAGTAACGTGGAATGACGTACTGCAGGACTGAGACATGAATGACATGGATAGTGCACAGGATACATGTTAAGAGTAGAAGAGATGCAGCTAAAAAGGCAGGATGAGGGTCCAATGTGCCAAATCTGTCATGCAATTTACTACAAAATGGTCTCTGTAAGATGAATCTAGCAAAGCTATACTGGTCATACTTGAAACTAAAAACAAGCAGTGGGCAAAGGTAAGCAGGACATCAGACTGACCTGGATTCACTCATCAGCTCCACCACTGATAACCCTGAGGAACTTATCTTCTCCAAGTCTCAGAAGACTGCTGAGAATGCAGAGAGTGTTTAGAACACTGCAGGCCCTCACTGGATTTCCCTTATCTCCTGGTATGATGCAAACCCCCCACGCAAGCTATTAGAGTAATTCAGAATTGTGGCAGTGGAAATGTAAATGCAGAAAGAAAAGTATTTGAAAAAAAATTTCAAAGATGATTCAAGAAAATTTTTAAAGGGCACAAAAGCAGCAAAAAAAAAAAAAAGATGATAAAATACTTCTACAATGGTTTAGGCAAATTAATTAGAGGAATACAGTTAAGTTCTTCTGTGAGCAAACAATAAAGTACTTAAATAGAGTCAACGATTTTTTTCGCCCCCCGATAGGTTGGCTATCTGTTCATCACCCAGTTTTGTTTTTGGAGCTTTGATCTTATTAAAAGATTTATGCAAGCATTGGTACATTCAAGCTTCATAGAGTTCTGACCTAATAAAACTTCGTTGAGAGTTCTGACCTAATAAAGAGTACACTCTAAGTTAATATTCATCTCCTCTACCATCAAAAATGCATAAATCCTCTGCAAGTGGGACCCAGAGTAAGAAAAGGATCAGAAACAAGCAGCTTTGATTTCTCATGGGGGAAACTGGAAGCGAGGTAGAGAGACACGGACAAGACAGTTACGGTTAGGTTGTTGGGCAAAAAGACTGAACTCTTGACTTAGAGATTCTTAAATTTACATTCACAACACCTCTCAAAGGTTTAGAATTCAGGAGATCCATAACTTAGGGGAAAAAGATATGTATCTTTTCACTAACTTCTGACATTTGGCATTTTATGAATTCGTCTAAAAACAAAAAAACAAAAAAAACACAGTAGTTGCTGTTCGTGTGTCACCTACAGAAGCCATATAGTTCTTTCCTATTAGCCGGCGCAGCTATCTCAAAACAGCCTTTGTATTCATCACTACTTCTCAATAGTAATTATTACACATGCAAAACCTTAACATTTTAATAAGCACACACACTACTGTCACATACCACAACTTTTTAAAAATATTTTGATAACTTCCTCATAATTTGTTTACTTTGTGGTTCTGTGTATTTTGCTTTATTCACTTAAAAATATTTTATGAAAACAGGCTTCACCAGACTGTCAAAAGGCCCTTGGAATACAAATGGTCAAGAACCCACGTAGGACCTCCTCTATCTTAACAGGCAATCATAAATGAGTGTAGCTCTCTTATCTGAGCAAAACAGTATTAACGGCTGATTTGCAACTCTCCTAAAATAAAAAGTGTCCACAAATTTAAGGAAAAAATTTTGTTAGAAGCTCTCATTCACAGTTCCAGTCCAGGGCACAAGTTAGCTTAGCTGCTCTTCCTTTGCTAAACAGGGTGCCTAAAACTTTTTTTTTCCCTTCAGAGCCCCAAAATGTCTCACAGTAGCCTTGGTTTTACAAATTACTTGCATTCCAAATGTTAAATAAGGAGGAATAACATATTGCTCTTGTCTGCCACATGCAATGCTGTGAGAGTAAAGGAGAACAGATATTAAGTGTTTCGGATTACTTCCAAGTCTCTGAACAAGTTGTTCATGGGATAAAATTCTCATACTTAACTCTCAATTTTTTCTTGTATCACTTCCAGATAGTCTCTAAGTTACAGCAAAAAAAGGTAAGTAAGTGGTAGTCTTTATGACTTTTATG